TGACAGATGACTCCCCCCAGCGACTTCATATAGATATTAAAAAGGAGGGGGGAGAGGCATGACTGTCAGTTGCAAGAAGTTGTATTAGGAAATCCTGGTGTGTGTGTGTGTGTGTGTCTCTCTCTCTCATCATCTGTCTGTCTCCTGACTTCTTTCTACAGATGTCACTATACATATGTGGATAGAGATACAGGGGACAATTGATGGATAGAGTTTTTTTTTTTTTAAAGAATACTTCAGTTCCACTCATGGCATGATTTCTCACAATGTTGCTGATCTAAGCTCTCAACGCTTAGCTCTCTTAATGTTGACTTCTGAATTGAATCATAAAGTTGTTTCATACTGTGACTACAATTCTACTTTGCTTGGTTTTGCTTGGTTTCTTTTAGGAATTTTTTTAATGGAACAGTGCAAAATATCTTTCGGAACTTGTCTTGAAGTAGGCAAGCAGAGCATACTGAAAACAGGAACTGCTGAAACAGCAATCTTAACCTATTGATATAGCAACGTAACACCCAGTTTAAAGTCTAGTCCTTTAAAGTATTGTATTATTAAAGGAATTTTCTATTTTTCCTCCCTCTATTGTCAATATTAGGACCAAATAATGTATGAAGAGCTGCGCCAGTCATTGAATAGGTGACACCTGAAAGACATAGAAGACTCCTAATGCTTGCCATGCACCTCCTGATCCCGCGTAGAACGTGGTCTGTTTTATATGTCTACTGATTTCAGAATTGTTGAACTCCTTTTAAATTAACATATAAATTAGCTCTTCCTTTAACAGCAGGGCTCTTTGAAAACCCTGTCTCCATGAAAGAGCTCACTGCCTGAGATCTGAATGCCTGGGAATCTGTTGCTAAATAGCTCAGCATGCTTACTGCGTAGGTGAATTGCTGACTTGCTATAAAACTATGCAAGTCCCCACTAGCCATAGTTCAAGTAAAGGACAACAAAGTAGTCTGTAAGCATTACAGCCTTCCCATGTAAGGAGGACATCCATGCTTGTATGTATTGTCAAATGATATAATAAACTAGGCTCAGCACGAGTATCTGTGTCACTTTAAGATTTTTTTTCCTTTGGTATAACTGAGTGCAAACATAGTAACAGATTATAAGTCTCCTGTTGATTATTCCCTTTCTAAAGAAGGCACTATATGTAGTTCATGGCACAGTGTGGGTGAACTTTTATTTATTGGGACATATTTAGTCTTCTGAAGCTTGCCAAGGACAACGCATGTGATTGGGTGGAGGCACAGTAACTGCAATCCTTGTATTTCCATTATCAACATGAATTTTACTTTATATATTGTGATGTAATGCAATGTAACTAAATGTAAATAATTTTAAAGTGCTGAATTTTAAAATAATTTAAAATAAAATAAATAAAAAATAAATTAGTTAATAATTTAATAATAAACAGCTAAGAATTGCTTTTACCGACTATGATTATGGATCACTATACAGTGGTACCTCG